GTTCTGACTGACGAGTAAGTTGATAACAGTTTTGGTGACATTTAAAATTACATATCCAGGGTCTTCACCCCCATAGAAGGCATTTCAAATATCTGCTCTACAAAATGCTTTCCGATGTTCACAAAGAAGTATGCACAAGGATGTTCACTGCAGCAGTGCACGAAATGAGGATATAATCTAAAATCCATCAGCTGGGAAATTCTGAAATAAACATACAGCCATACTGTGCAATGTTATGCAGGAGTTTAAGTGAATAGAATAGCACTGTAAGTATTGGGAGGGAAAGAGACCCAGGACACATCACGAAGTGAAAGAATCAAGCTGCAAGATGCTACTATTTAGGTAAAATAAATAAATACATATATATGAAACCACACAACAAACCCATTTTGCTAAATATAAACACGCATGTAGGAAAAATGCATGGGGAAAAGTCTGGAAGGACATATGTACTAAATTCACAGCAGTGCTTACCTTGGTGGTAGGGAGTTAGGACACAAGGAAGGTTTTCACTATACCTGTTATTTCATTTTTTATCATTAAGAATAATGTATTAAATGATAGAAAATGAATATAAATTGTTTCTTAATTAAAATTCTATGGTTAAAACAACCATAGAACTAAAATCAATATATATTGATTTGTGATACAGAAGGGAAATGAGTTTTCTAAGAGGTGTTGACTTCAAAATTATGGACCAAGAAAGAGCTTATGGTGCTGTTAGTTTTTTTGTTTTTTGTTTTTATGTTTTTATTTTTTTGGTATTCATATTCGGAGAGAATACTCACAATTTGTCAGTCCAACGGTATGCTTTCCAAACATTTTCATCAATGTAGGAAATAGAGTTTTCCTGGAAATTTCTGTAAAGAAAGAGTTGGTATCCTTGAATAGGTAGGAAGAGAATGAGCAGAACAAGGAAAATAGTAATTGCAACCTCATGGGGCTACTGGAATGCAAAAAATATTACCAGCTTTTTAATTTCTAGGGCTCTCAGCTTCTTACTTTGCACAGTTAGTAGAGATAATGTGGAGGGCCTGGCAGAAACAATGAGGCATCGCTATAAAAGCTTAACATCCTCCTCTCCATCCATGTTCTCTCTCTCTCTTCTCTCTCTCTATTTATTTAAAAGGCAGAGAGACAGAGAAAAGGGAGAGACAAAGAGAAGGAAAGGTCTTCCATCTGCTGGTTCACTCCCCAAATGGCCACAACAGCCAGCTATGTATGGGTCAGGGTGAAGCCAGGAGCTATCTAGGCCTCTGACAAGGTTGGCATGGGCCCAGGTACTTGGGCCTTCTGCAGCTTTCCCAAACACATTAACAGGAAGCTGGATCTGAAGTGGAGCTGCCCTGGATTTGAACCAGCATGCCGCCCTATGGGATACCAGTGTTGCAAGTGGCAACTTAACCCACCAATCTCTTTGACAGATACTTCCAGTCAATTCCTTTCTCCAAGGAATTGATTAAACTGACTTGGGTGTCTAAACTGACTTTTTTTTTTAAGATTTATTTTATTTATTTGAAAGACAGAGTTACAGATAGAGGTAGAGACAGAGAGAGAGGTCTTTCATCCACTGGTTCACTCCCCAGATGGCCGCAACGGCCAGAGCTGCGCCAATCCAAAACCAGGAGCCAGGAGCTTCCTCCGGGTCTCCCACATGGGTGCAGGGCCCAAGCACTTGGGCCATCTTCCACTGCTTTCCCAGGCCATAGCAGAGAGCTGGATTGGAAGTAGGGCAGCCAGGATTACAACCAGCACCCAGATAGGATGCCGGCGCTTCAGGCCAGGGCTTTAACCTGCTGTGCCACAGCGCCGGCCCCTAAACTGACTTCTTGTATAACTCAGTAAGAAAATGGTAAATAATTTAGGGCCAGCACTGTGGTGTAGCGGGTTAAAGCCCCAGCATGCAATGCTGGCATCCCATATGGGTGCCAGTTCGAGTCCCAGCTGCTTCACTTCCCATCCAGCTCTCTGCTGTGGCCTGGTAAAGCAATAGAAGATGGCCCAAGTCCTTGGGCCCCTGTGCCCACGTGGGAGACCCAGAAGAAGCTCCTGACTCCTGGCTTCGGATCAGCTTAGCTCTGGCCATTGCGGTCATTTGGGGAGTTAACTAGTGGATGGATGACCTCTCTCTCTCTCTCTCTCTCTCTCTCTCTCCCTCCAATCCTCCCTCTCTTTCTCCCTCTTATTCTCCCTCTCCCTCTGCCTCTCTCTGTAACTCTTTCAAATAAATAAAAAGTAAAACTTAAAAAAAGAAAATGATAAATCAACAGAAAAATGGACAAAATGTATCATTATCAGCAAATACGAATAAAGATATGCTATAGCAGGTAAGTCAAATGCTTTGGCCAAGTTCCCTCTGCTGAAATGTTTCAGGTATTTAATGGATAAGGACAATCAGTAATCAGAGGGACAAATGTGCTAATATGGGTGGCCTTTTAGACATACTGCAAACCACTGACCCAGGAGTGAAGTATTACCTCATTGTGGGAAAAATGCAAAAGAGGGTGATTAGAAGGAAGGACACACAGCATAATGGTAACCAGGGTTGACCTATGGATGACAGAGTATAGAGGATGGGGCGATAAAGGAAATGGGGTACAGATTTTCATTTTATCCTATGTTCTTTTTCACAAAAGTAGGAATGTACCAAGAATTATGAAAGTTTAAAATAAGCTGTTAAATGCCTTGAGTTACACTGTGGATAATTTTGAGTCTTTATCTTGACCTCTGTCCTCTCTCCTCAGAAAAAAAATGCATCTGTTTGGGGCCAGTGCTGTGGCGCACAAGGTTAATCCTCCGCCTGTGGCGCTGGCATCCCATATGGGCGCTGGTTCTAGTCCTGGTTGCTCCTCTTCCAGTCCAGCTCTCTGCTGTGGCCTGGGAGGGCAGTGGAGGATGGTCCCTGCACCCACATGGGAGACCAGAAAGAAGCACCTGGCTCCTGGCTTCGGATCGGCGTGGTTCCAGCCATTACGGCCATTTGGGGGGTGAACCAATGGAAGGAAGATCTTTCTCTCCGTCTCTCTCTCTCTCACTGTCTGTAACTCTACCTATCAAATAAATTAATTAATTAAATTAAATATTTTTTTAAATGCATCTGTTCAGGTTATGTACAAATTTTTTTGGATGGAGCAGAAATGGTCAGGACATCTATCTGCTCATCTGCCTAGAGGACATTTCCACTCAACCAGAAACCACTTTTTAAAGTTCACCAATAAAAAGTGCCTAAAAGTGAACACATCTCCTTTCTGACTGTTCAATTTCCACCTCTTAGGCCACCATCATTTTCACCATCATCCAGGACAAAACCGTGGTGTCATGTTTTTCGCTTTTCTGTACATTCTACCCCACAGCTCTTTGGTCAATCATGAAATCTGTCCTTTCTTTGTAGCCTCCCATGACTTTCGTTCCACGTCTATCACAACTACTCTGATTTAGCCCCATTGTCACTTTACTCCTTAAGTTTTTTCTATTTGATCTCCCTGAATTAAAATGTCCTCCCTAGGTCACTCTACATATGGATTTTAAAAATAATTCCTCTGGGGCAGGCTTTTGGCCTAGTGGTTAAGACAATGCTTAAGACACTTGTATTTCACACTAGAGTTACCTGGGTTTGATACCCAACTCTGGGCTTCAGCCTTCCTGCCAATGCAGAATCTGGGACACAATGATGATGGCTCAAGTAGTTGTGTTCCTGCCATCCATGTGAGAGACTTGGATTGAATTCTTGGCTCTTAGCTTCAGCCAGCCCAATCCCTTTCATTGTAAGCATTTGGGGGAATGAATTAGTGGATGAGAGCACCGTCTTTCTTTCTCTCTGCCTCCCAAATAATAAATAAAATTTTTTAAAGAAAAATGATCAATTAAAAAATCCTCCCACATAATGATAGGATTAAGTGTCAAAAGGATCACATAAACGAGTGTCTGCTAATAATAACTGATAAAATTAAAAAGGAGAGAACGATCCAACATGGGAAGTGGGATACACAGCAGACTCATAGAATGGCAGATGCCCTAAATAGCACTCTAGCCTCAGAATCAGCCCTTAAAGCATTCAGATCCAGCTAAAAAGCCCATGAGAGTTTCTTAGGCATGGAAAGTCAAGACACTGTGGCAAAAACAAAAACAAAACAAACAAAAAAAACCTAAATGAAAGATTTCTGTGAGTGAGATCCCAGCAGAAAGAACGGGCCACCAAAGAAGGAGGTACCTTTCTCTGAAGGGAGGAGAGAACTTCCACTTTGATTATGGCCTTGTCTGAATAAGGTCGGAGTTTGTGAACTCAAGAGGCTTCCATAGCCGTGGCAGCTCATGACAAGAGCCTTGGGTGATTACTGACGTCATAAATAAGAGTGTCAATTGTTAAATCAACAACAAGAGTCACTGTACACTTGCTTCCCATGTAGGATCTCTGTCTTTAATGTGTTGTACTATGCAAATTAACAGTAAAACTACTACTCAAACAGTACTTTATACTTTGTGTATCTGTGTGGGTGCAAACTGTTGAAATCTTAGTATAGAACAAGTTGATCTTCTGTATATAAAGATAATTGAAAATGAATCTTGATGAAGAATGGGATGGAAGAGGGAGTGAGAGATGGGATGGTTGCAGATGGGAGGGAGGTTATGGGGGGAAAAGCTGCTGTAACTCAAAAGTTGTACTGTCGAAATTTATGTTTATTAAATAAAAGTTTAAAAAAAGAAAAAAAATCCTCCCATTTTAATCATGTCTCTCTCTTGCTTGAAAACTTCCAATGGTTCTCTATATCTCATTATATAACTTTGAAACCCCTGTAGCTTATATTCAAGATTATTCATTTAATATTTTTCACTGCTTCCTAAGTCAATTATTTTTAGTTAGAATGTCTACTAAATCCTGATCATTCCTACAGCCAAGTCTTTGCCTAGGCTGGGATCCCCGTTTTCTCCTCTGTTTATTAAGTAATATCCATTCTTAGACCCCATCTAAAGTTTTAGCTTCTCCATGCTTCAGCATGTGACTCATACACTACTTAGCCTTGTGTCGAGAACAAATGGGTGCTATATACAGAGGGACAAATATATTCAGGTCACAAATGAGGGATTGAATAATAATAGCTAATATTTATATATATGTTGAGCACTGACATAAAAGTATATATGTATCCACTCTTCTAAGTACACACAATCCAATTAAATGACAACTGTCATAAATCTACTTTACAGATGAGGAAATTGAACAATGGGACTAAATAATTTGCCCAAGGTCACAAAGCTAGTAAAAGAAAGACCTGTGTTCAAAGCAAGGCAATCTGGCTCCAGAATCTACTCTTAAACATTTTGTTGTATCATCACTAATGATTTGGGATAAGGTGCATGTGCAAAAATGGGAGTGAATCTAAGAATGATATGACAAGCCTAAACAAAAATGAATCAGGAAAAGGAGCAAGGGCAATCACAAGTGAGACTGCAGAAGGGGCACAAGAGTAAGAAGGAACAGGAGTATAAGAAAAGTTGAAAAGCAGAAGATCAAAACAGAAAATCAGTCAATATAAGATGGGGACCTGAGGAAGGCCCTGGAAGATCTTGAGGAAAAGGCTACCATGGACAAGCAGGATGTAGGGAACTATGAGGAAGGGCCATTCTTACAAGATGGTGAAGGTGCCATTGTAGCTGTTGGGCGCTGGCACAGGCACTCGGTGGAGCTTCTGTGTTGGGCTGAGACCAGTACATGACAGTGTCTCATCTCTGCAGGTACAGAGCTCACAAATGTTGATGTTTTTGGTTATGTTATTTTCCTTTTGCACAGTTAAAGCATTTTCTGGAATGTAGTTTACAGAATACTGTGTGGTAGTAAGATCCAGTGTCAAAGGTTGACCTGTGATTGCAGTTAAGTTTGGGTGCTGAGTATGAACCTGGCCTGGATGTAGAGCTGTAGTCTTCTTCAGGGCTGTAGAATGTTCAGCCTCTGTAGTGGATACTGGTGTTTTGCTAAGCTCCAGCTTCAAAGGCTGAACTGTGACACTAGGTGACCCTGTATGCTGAGCTTCATCCTGACCTTGTGTTGGAACTGTCCCATCTTGATATACTGGAGGTTGGGTTACAACTTCCTTAGGGGGCTGAGTTGGGGTCTCCTGCATGGTTGGAGAGGGTTCATCCACAGTACTGGGTTCTGAAGTTATGGTAAGTTCCAAGTTCAAATGTTGACCAGTGACTTGAGTCAGATTTGGATGCTGAGTCTGAATCTTGTCTGAATGCAGAGCAGTAGTCGTCTTCAGGGCTGTGGAATGTTCAGATTCTGTAGTGGGTTCTGGAATAATGGTGGGTTTTAAGTCCAAAGGTTGATCTGTGACACTGGCTGACACTGGAGGCTGAGTTTGATCCTGACCTGGTGTTGGAACTGTCATCTTGTAATACACTGGAGATTGAGTTACAACCTCTTTAGGTGGCTCTGTAAGCTGAGTTTGAGTCTCCTGCATGTTTGGAGAAGGTTCAATCTCTTCACTGGGTTCTGAGGTTATGATAAGTCCCAGGTCCAGATGTTGAACTGTGCCTTGAGTCTGGTTTGGATATTGAGTCTGAACCTGGCCAGGGGATGGAAGTGTCACCGCAGGGTGTTTTGGAGGAGATATGGTCTTCTTCAGAGTGATAGAATGTTCAGCCTCCATAGTGGGTTCTGGAGTAATAGTAAGCTCCAGGTCCAAAGGTTTGTGTGTGATGTTGGGTGACATTGGATATTGAGCTTGATTATGACCTGGTGTTTGAACTGTCACCTCCTGATATAGAGGAAATTGAGGTACAACTCCCTTAGTTGGCTCTTGATGTTGATTTGGGGTATCCTGCATAGTTAGAGAAAGTTCACCCCCTGTAGTGGGTTGTGGAGTAATGGTAAGCTCCAGGTTCAGAGGTTGAAATGTGATGCTGGGTGGCTTCAGATAATGAGTTTGATCTTGAGCTGGTGTTGGAGCTGTCACCACCTGATATACTGAGCCTTGAGTTGCAATCTCCTTAGGTGGCTCTGGAAGCTGTGCTGGGTCTACCTGCTGGGTTGGAGAACGTTCAATCACTCTAATGGGATCTTGGGGTTGAGCTGGAATATTTTCCTGGACTGGATATGGCTTCACTTTCTCAGGGGGCTCTAGGATCTGAGACAGGGCCTCATTTTTCACTGAAGAAGCTGCCAGCTTATCAGGTGGTTGTGTAGGCTGAATTGTGGCCTCTTGCTGGATTGGAGCTAGTTCCATCTCAGGGAGCTCTGGAAGCAGAGATGGATCCACCTGTTGGACTAGAGAGGGTTTCACCATGAGAGGGGCCTCGGAATGCTGAGCTAGGGCTGCCTGCAGGCTGAGATGGGATCATCTCCTGAGGAAGAGAAGATTCTGCCTCCCTACGAACCTCTGAATGTGCAGCTACAACCTCCCGGGGTTCTAGAGATGGTTCTGCATTCCCAGATGCCTCTAGAGGCTGAGATGGGACCTCTGCAGGGTTAGAGAAGGATTGGCCTCCTTAAAGGGCCATGAAGGGTATCCTGAAGCCTCCTGCTGCATTGAAGATGCTTCAACCTCCTTAGGGGGCTCTGGTGGTTCAGCTAGAGCTTCCTGTTGCATTGGAAGAAATCCTACATCCTCAGGAGAATCACCTATGGCCTCTCGTTCAGCTAAGGAAGATTCTATCTTTTCTGGGGGTTCTGGAGGCTGGGAAGGAGGATCAAGTTGGGTTGGAGAAAATCTAACTTCCTCAGTAGGAACTGTAGGTTGAGAAGGATCCCCTAGCTGATCTGAAGGAGTTTCAGTAGCTGAAGTGGGCTCTGGGGTTATGATAAATTCAAAATCTAGGTGTTTTGCTGTGGTTTTAGGAGACTTAAATACTGACCTTTGAATGTTGTTTCTGGATCAAGAGGTGAAAATGTAGTCATCTCCTCAAAAGGAAAAAAGCTGCTTATCTCCACAGAGGATGCTAGAGGCTGAGTTGGACGTTCCTGTTGGAATGCTCTTCGTTGAACACCTACAGGGGGATTTTGAGGCAGAGCTGAATTCTCCTGCTCACCTGTAAAATGATCCTCAATGGCTTCTTTGGGCTGAATTAGGATCCCAGGATCAACTGAAGATTGCTGAGCCAAGACTGTCCGCTGGTCTTTCAAAGGCTTAAGCTGCACAGGGAACCCTGTGGACTGAGCTGGGGCCTCCTGCGGGGTTGAGGTTTCCACCTTATTTGCGAACTTTGAAGGTTTAACAGTGATACTGTGCAATCTTGGATGCCAAAATTGATCATGACCTGCAGGAGAAACTATTATCTTGTGATGCTCTGAGGGTTGAGCTACAACTTCTTTAGGGATCTGTGATGGCTGAAATGGAGCTTCATGCTGCATTGGGGAATTTTCAACCTTTGGGGAGTTCTGTAAACTCTCAGCTGTGGCCTCCTGCTGCATTGAGGAGGGTTTCTCAACCTGAAAACCTTCTGTATATGGAGCTGGAGCCTCATGTTGGATTGAAAACATTTTAAACTGTTCAGGAGGTTCTACAAGGAGAGTTGGAGCCTCATGCTGGGTTGTAGGTTTCACCCAATTAACTGGGATAGAGGACTGATCTATAATGTCATCAATGATTGGAGAAGTTACCACCTTCGCAGTAGGTTCTGATGTTATTATAAGGTGTAGATCTGGAGGTTTAACAGTAACATTCGGCAAAACTGAATGTTGAGTATCATGGTAACCCAGAGGTGAAATTGTCACTTGCTGTTGCTCTAGAGACAGAATTTGTTCCTGCTTCTGTGTTGAAGAAGGTTCCACATTATCAGCATGTTCAGAAGGCTGAGCCTCCACAGAAAACTCAGAAGGTTTCACTGGTAGCTCCTGCTCACTAGGATAAGGTTCAGTGTCCAGAGGAGGACCCGGAGGCTGAGCTGAGGCTTCCTGTTGGTCTACAGAAGATTCAGTCTCCATAGGAGACTCTGCTGGCTTCTCCTGTTCACTAGCAGAAGGTTCTGTCTTCACAGGAGCCTCCAGAATCTGAGCTGGTGCCACCTGCTGGGTTGGAAAAGACTCAACCTCTTTGTTGGGCTCTGAAGTGATGGTAATTGCCACATATGCAGGCTTAACTGTAACACTGGGCACATTATACTGAAGAGTTTGATCCTGACTTGGAGGCTGAACTGCCTCCTCATGACCTGGTGGAGTCTGAGCTATACTCTGGATAAGAGATTCTGGACCTTGAGCTGGGCCCTCTTGCTGAACTGGAGGTTTGACTTCCTCAGGGGGCTTCCACGGCTGTGCTGGAGTTTCCCGCTGGCTGCCAGAAGGTTCAACCTCAGGAAACTCAGAAGGGTTCATGGGTAGCTCCTGCTCACTGGGATAAGGTTCTGTGTTGACCAGAGGAGGAGCAGGAGGCTGAGCTGGGGCTTCTTGTTGGTCTACAGAAGGTTCTGTTTCCACAGGAGCCTCCAGAATCTGAGCTGGTGCCACCTGCTCTGTTGGAAAATACTCAACCTCTTTGTTAGGCTCTGAAGTTATGGTAATTGCCACATCTGCAGGCTTAACCATAATATTGGGCATGTTATAAGTTTGATCCTGACTTGGAGATTGAATTGCCTCCTCATGACCTGGTGGAGTCTGAGCTATACTCTGGATAAGAGATTCTGGACCTTGAGCTGGGCCCTCTTGCTGAACTGTAGGATTGATTTCCTCAGGGGGCTTCCACGGCTGTGCTGGAGTTTCCCGCTGGCTGCCAGAAGGTTCAACCTCCTCAGGAAACTCAGAAGGGTTCATGGGTAGCTCCTGCTCACTGGGATAAGGTTCAGTGTCCAGAGGAGGACCCGGAGGCTGAGCTGAGGCTTCCTGTTGGTCTACAGAAGATTCAGTCTCCATAGGAGACTCTGCTGGCTTCTCCTGTTCACTAGCAGAAGGTTCTGGCTTCACAGGAGCCTCCAGAATCTGAGCTGGTGCCACCTGCTGGGTTGGAAAAGACTCAACCTCTTTGTTAGGCTCTGAAGTGATGGTAATTGCCACATATGCAGGCTTAACTGTAACACTGGGCATGTTATACTGAAGAGTTTGGTCCTGACTTGGAGGTTGAACTGCCTCCTCATGACCTGGTGGAGTCTGAGCTATACTCTGGTTAGGAGATTCTAGAATTTGAGTTGGGCCCTCTTGCTGAACTGGAGGTTTGACTTCCTCAGGAGGCTTCCAAGGCTGTTCTGGAGCTTCCATCTGGGTCCCAGAGGTTCCATTCTCTTCAGGAGAGAAAGAAGGTGGAGCTGACTGCTCTAACTCACTGGGTGAGGGTTCAGTGTCCACAGGAAAGTCTGGAGACTGAGTTGGGGCCTCCTGTTGGTCAAGAGAAGGTTCAGTCTCCACAGCAGACCCTGCATACTCAGCTGGCTTCTCCTGTTCATTGACAGGAAGTTCTGTTTGCACAGTAGCCTCCAGAATCTGAGCTGGTGCCGCTTGTTGTGTTGGAGAGGACTCAACCTTTTTGGTAGGTTCTGAAGTTATGGTAACTGCCACAAATGGAGGCTTAACTGTAACTGTAACAGTGGGCACGTTATACTGATGAGTTTGATCCTGGATTGGAGGTCGGTCTGCGACCTCCTGACCCGGTGGAGTCTGAGCTATAACACTCTCCAACAGAAATTCGGGAGCTTGAGCTGAGGACTCTTGTTGGATTGGAGGCTTGTTTTCTTCATGGGGCTTCTCAAACTGTCCTGGTGCTTGCATCAGACTTCCAGATGGTTCAAATGCTTCAGCAGACTGAGAAGCTGCCTGCTCCTGCTCACTGTTAGAAGGTTCATTCTCCAAAAAATAGCCTGGAGTATTTGCTGACACTTCCTGCTGGCTTAGAGAAGGTTCAGCCTCCACGGGAGACTCTGTGTACTCAACTGGTTTCTCCTGTCCACTGGGAGGTTTTGTCTGCACAGCAGTAGTTCCTAGAATCTGAGGTGGCGCCCCCTGCTGGGTTGGAGCATATGCAACCTTTTGGATAGGCTCTGAAGTGGGAACTTCCACAACTGCAGGCTTAACTGTTACACCCGGCACATTATAATAATGAGTTTGATCCTGACTTGGAGTTTGAACTGTCGGCTCATGACCTGGTCGAGTCTGTGCTACACTCTTAAACAGAGATTCTGCAACTCTTGCTGGAGCCTCTTGCTGCGCTGGGGGTTTGACTTCCTCAGGGGGCTTCCCAGGCTGTCCTTGAGCTCCCATCTGACTTCTAGATGGTTCAGTCTCTTCAGAAGACACAGAAGGTTGAGCTGGCTGCTCCTGCGCACGGTGTGAAGGTTCAGTCTCCATAGATGAGCCTGAAGGTTCAGCAGAGGCCTCCTGCAGGTCTAGAGAAGGTTCAGTCTCCACTGGAGACTCTGAATACTCATCTGGCTTCTCCTGTTCACTAGCAAAAGGTTCCGTCGCCACAGGAGCTCCCGGAACTTGAGGTGGCACCTCCTGCTGGGTTGGAGAAGACTCAACCTTTTTGGTAGGCTCTGATGTTACGGTAAATCCCACATCTGCAGGCTTAACTGTAACATTGGGCAAGTTATAATGATGAGTTTGTTCCTGACTTGGAGGTTGAATTATCACCTCATGACTCAGTGGAGTCTGAGCTATACTCCCCAACAAAGATTCTATAGCTTGAGCTGGTGCCTCTTGCTGAACTGGAGGTTTAATTTCCTCATGGGACCTTCCAGATTCTTCTGGGGTTTTCAACCGACTTCCAGAATGTTCAGCCACCCCAGATATGTCAGAATGCTGAATTTGTTGCTTGTTTTCCCTGAATGAATGTTCAGTGTCCACAGGAGGGCTTGGAGGTTGAGCTAAGGCCTGCTGCTGACCTAGAGCAAATTTAGCCTCTTTACGAGACTCATCACACTGACTCAGCTGCCCCTGTCCGCTGGGAGTAAGTTTTGTCTCCATAGGAGTTCCAAGAATCTGAGCTGGGACCTCCTTCTGGGTTGGAGAAGACTCAACCTTTTTGGTAGGCTGTGAAGTTATGGTAACTCCCACAACTGCAGGCTTAACTGTAACCTTGGGCAAGTTAGACAGATGACTTTGACTCTTACTCAGAGATTGAACTGTCACCTCCTGACCCAGTGGAGTCTGAGCTATACTTTCCCACAGGGATTTTGGAGCTTGAGTTGGGCCCTCTTGTTGGGTTGAAAAAGATCTCACCACCTCAGGGGCCTGATGTAGGGCTTTGGATTGGGTTGAGGAAGAGTCTATCTCCCTGGTGTTCTCTTGAGGATGTGCTGGGGTCTGATGCTGACTTACAATAGGATGAACTTCCTTACCTCCCTTTGGCGTTATTGTCATTGTCAGTGTCATGTCTACTGGTTTAGCTGTGACACTGGGCAAGTCTGAGCGGAGAGCTTCCTTTGGACTTGGAGATGGAGCATTGACTTCATGGTGCACTGATGACTGACCAACTTCTTCACGAACAAGTAGATGCTGAGCTGAGGCCTTCTGTTGATCTGGAGAAAGTTTTACCTGTCGTTTTTGAACTGAGTCCTCCCCCTGGGTTGAAGGATTTTCATCCTCCTCAAGGTGCAGTGGATGTTGAGCTGGAGTTTCTTGCTGGAGTGAAAAGGATTGGCCCTCTAGATGGAACTGAGATGGTTCAGTTTGCTCACGAGACTCCCAGAGTTCATGTGGGTTCTCCTGGAATTCCAGAGGTAGGCTTCCAGGATAAAGTGTATCCATGCTTGGATGTATATAATCATCCTGAAACATTTCCTCTGGAAGCTGAGGCTTTGTAAATTGGTCTGGAGTTCCAACGACAACCTTAGAAAGTCGCTGATGCTGAGCTGGATCCTTCTTCAGCTTCAGAGGTGAAACAATAAACGTGGTTGCCTTTGAACTCTGACTATCTAGAGACGGAACAAGTGTTTCAAATGACTGATCTGCAGCCTGATCTAGACCTGCAGTTTGAATCTTGTTTTTGAGTTGAGGAGGCAGATTACCTTCTAGCATTGGAGCCATCTCTGGGGCCCTTTGTTGCCAACTTAGCTTTTCATTCAGATCCTGATACAGAACATCAAGCTGGTCTGGCTCTGGGGGCAGCTCTTGAGCTGAATTCGTGTCCAGGAATGGAACCAAGTCCTCAGTCAACTCTTCAGGTGGGACCAACTTTTGGGAGGAAACAGAGGAGCCCAGGTAATCAAAGCCCCCAGGGTCTGCCGGGAGTGTGTGCGCATCGGGTGATCCAGGTGAGTGCTCAGAGGAACGTGGAACCCAAGACTCAGAAAGCCCTGAGGAGTCGGAGATCAGCTGGACTGGGTCCTGGAATTTTTCCCGAGGTTTAGTGGCTTGTACTAGCAGCCACAAAGGTTGCCACGCAAGGAGGAGCTGTGGGACCCACAGGCACAACTGGGTCATGGTACATAGGGATTACCGGACACAGCAACTCAGGCTGATGGGGCACCACTGTTGCACCTTGAGCAGGAACTGAAGTATTATGGAAGCCTCTCACCATGTGCACCTTAGCAACTGTGCGCCCCACCCTGCCCCGCCCTTTATTTATGACACCTGTATTTACACACCCTTAATAGCTCAGATCCTATTAGCTCTATGCCTGGGTGATTCTTTTCCCACAGTCACTGGGCCCCAGCCTCAGCAGAGGTGTCTACTGAACTGCACATCCCATGCCTAATCACAAGGCCACAGACCTAGATAGCCCTGGGATTCCAACAGCTGCTTAGGTGTGGGGAAGCAGAACTCCCCAGGAAGTAAGTGGGCCTGGTCCCTTCAGATATTCACAAGTTCCACTCCAGTTCTGTCACCCTGAACTCTTCCTCTTCCATGCTGAAATTTGAGATATCCCTCCTCACGAGTCCAGCAGAGCAGCAGGCAGGAGAAACACATATTATGGTTACTTATTTCAAAATATGGCCATTTTCTTTCTTTCTTTCTTTCTTTCTTTCTTTTTTTTTTTTTTTTTTGGACAGGCAGAGTGGACAGTGAGAGAGAGACAGAGAGAAAGGTCTTCCTTTGCCATTGGTTCACCCCCTAATGGCCGCGCAGCCGGCGTGCTGTGACTGGCGCACCACACTGATCCAAAGGCAGGAGTCAGGTGCTTCTCCTGGTCTCCCATGGGGTGTAGGGCCCAAGGACTTGGGCCATCCTCCACTGCCTTCCCGGGCCACAGCAGAGAGCTGGATTGGAAGAGGAGCAACCGGGACAGAATCCAGCGCCCCAACTGGGATTAGAACCCGGGGTGCCGGCACTGCAGGTGGAGGATTAGCCTACTGAGCTGTGGCGCCGGCCAAAATATGGCCATTTTCTCCAAACTCTCAATATTCTTTGTCCATGTTTGATAATTAATTCACTCTATTAGGTAGAGGCTACCATGGAATCAGCAGTGACTCCAAGATTCCTATAGCGGGGATTTGGGGTGGGTCAGCAATTCAATGAGGGGAGAAGGTTTGAATCTAAATGAAAAGCCCTGATTTGCTTGCTGTTTCACCTCTGGACTGCTCCTGGCAGCACTGCTTTGTCACTTTGTCCTCTTGAACACTGGACTGAGGATCTGGATCCTCTCTGAGGTTTTTGCCCTTTCTTTTTGGGTTGCCTTTTTAATTTTCTCTTTATAGATCCTCCACAGTTTGTTGATCCACCCTCTCCTCCTTCCCTCCAGTATACTCCCTCAAAGATCCAGACAGCCTTACAGCAAAGATTCCATAAAAATCACACTAGTTGGCTTCAAAAGAAGTGCACACTCTTCCTCCTAGTAGCCAAAGAATGGAAAGTTATTGAACACCTACATGGTATTACTCATTTTGGTTGAGATTCCCTAGAAAACTTAGTATCCATATTTTTTATAGGAAAAGTATTAATTAAGACCATATGACAGGTATGGGTAACTTTGTACCCCTAATAATCCCCAAGTCTACCCAATAGCCTCACCCTTAATAATGCCCATCCAACATTCAAGGACTTATCCAGAAGACTGGCAGAATGACTTTACTCACATGCTACCCAAACAGCCTCCTGGTTTCTGGAGATACCTTCGTGGGGTGGGTAGAGGCATTTCTGACCCAGACAGAAAAGGCTATAGAAGTCTACAAGATCCTTCTCAAAGAAACAATCCCAAGATTTGTGTTTCTTAGGGTCCTGCAAATGATATTGGCCCCTCCTTCATAGCCAAATAACTCTCTCAGGCCTACGTATAACCTATAAATTCCATTCCTCCTGGCACCTGATCTTCAAAGGGTCAAAAAGACGAAAAACAAACAAACAAACAAACAAAAACAAAAAACAAAAAAACAAAAAACTTTGACCAAACTATGCCAGGAGACTCAAGAACCTCAGAGAGACTCCCTCTTCTCTGAACAGATTGCCCCCATAGGACCTCTTAAACTAGCCTGTTTGCCGGCGCCGCGGCTCACTAGGCTAATCCTCCGCCTAGCGGCGCTGGCACACCGGGTTCTAGTCCCAGTCGGGGCGCCGGATTCTGTCCCGGTTGCCCCTCTTCCAGGCCAGCTCTCTGCTGTGGCCAGGGAGTGCAGTGGAGGATGGCCCAGGTGCTTGGGCCCTGCACCCCATGGGTGACCAGGAAAAGCACCTGGCTCCTGGCTCCTGCCATCGGATCAGCGCGGTGCGCCGGCCGCAGCGCGCCGGCCGCGGCGGCCATTGGAGGGTGAACCAACGGCAAAAGGAAGACCTTTCTCTCTGTCTCTCTCTCTCACTGTCCACTCTGCCTGTCAAAAAAAAAAAAAAAATCCCTTTCTCTGTCTTTCCCTCTCTCTCTGTAACTCTGCCTTTCAAATAAATTAATTAAAAAAAAAAAAAAACTAGCCTGTTTGAGATGTTATGTGGAAAAACTTTCTTAGTCTGAGGCCCATTAGATAAAAAAACAAATCAGACTTTAACCCATATTAATGTGGGATTAGTACAAAAGGCTTGCCCAAGAATATGGTAACCAGATACTGCCTGCCCGCTCCAAAGATAAATTCTTACTCCAAATTAAACCAGGAGATAAAATTTTGCTAAAACCTTGGGCAGAGGGGTCCACAGAAGATCAAACATGCAGATGTTTAAACTCTGAAGTCTTAGTGGCAGAGACTTGATCTAGTTATGGCATCTGAGATGTGGCTCTGGTGGGAGTTCTTTAGGTCCTTGAAAGTTGGCCCTCAGAAGGTAATTTTTTGAAGGAGTTTGGTTATTTAAGCCAAGTTCTACCTACATTCTCTCCTTGCTCCCTTGCTCACCATCAGCCATTGCCAGTCTCCACCACAAATGGGGCCACTCAATCCTGAACAATGAACCTCCAGACTGTATGCGGAAATTAACCGTTTCCTTCCCAAGAAGCTCCTTTCAGGTATTTTAGTTAAGGTAATGAATTCCTGACTAACAAAGAGGGGTCTCCAAAAGACCAAATTCAAACAATACAAAGAAAGGCAAACCATTATGAATTCTTCACTGATGTATTAATTTATTCTTCCTCACTAGTTTACAAGCTCCTTAAATACCTAAAGGTATCCTCACTCCTTAAATACCTAAAGGTATCCTCACTCCCAGAACCCAGTATATTAATTGGCTTATAATAGAGCACAGATGGTCTGTTGATTGAGCAAATTAAAAAATAAAAGTCCTTTTTTCAACTGAAGCTGCCTGTTGGGAAGGAGAAATAGAGGCTACTCTCTAAATTTTGAGTGCTGCAGGGGAGGCTGGCCTGTACTTTGAGTCACAGTGGGGTTTTCCTGGACATTCGGGAAACTTCAGAAGAGCTCTGAGGCCAGAGTATACAGAGAACTCTTACCGTGGATAACTTTGCCACAGTTCTTGCCAGCAACCACTTTCCTTTTTGATACTGGAAAAGCAAAAACAAAAAATCTTTCAGACACCTTAAGCCTTTTCTTGATTTTAAAACAATTTTCTCTTTTCTGTGTTTATAAAAAGGCAAGGAAGAAAATACAAGATGTATGCATTTGCCAAATACAAAAGAACATGTATAATTAACTAGATAACAATTTGGGGAAAGGGTAGTAACTCAAGGTTCTATGTCAAGTAAATAAATAAATCTAATATGAATGTTCCCTCCTCTCAAGTATATATGGACTTGTTGACCCTCTCTATCATCACTCTGCCAGTGACAGGCCTTAGACTGTGAAATTCTCAAAGCCAAAAGCTTATGAAATGGTTGCAGTGTCCAAAGAACACTAATACTCATTACCCACAAACTGATACCAAGTATTTTGAAATTCTTCTAGAACCAACTGTAATATATATATATATATATATAGTAGTGGCAACACAAGATGGTTACAGGAATATTAAAGAATATATGACAAGTAATCACTTTTTAAAATGATTGGTTTGAAAGGCAGAGTAATGAAGCGAGACAGAGAGCGTGAAGGATCTTCTGTTTGCTGGTTTAGTCCCCAAATGCCTGCAAGAGCCAAGGCTGGGCCAGGCCGGAGCCAGGAGCCAGGAACTCCCATTTGGTCTCCAACATGGGTGCCAGAGACCCAAGTAACTGAGCCATCATCTACTGCCTTTCAAGGTGCATCAACACGATGCTGGATCAAAAGTAGAGCAGGGGCCAAGCCGGCGCCGCGGCTCACTAGGCTAATCCTCCGCCTAGCGGCGCCGGCACACCAGGTTCTAGTCCCGGTCGGGGCGCCGGATTCTGTCCCGGTGGCCCCTCTTCCAGGCCAGCTCTCTGCTGTGGCCAGGGAGTGCAGTGGAGGATGGCCCAGGTGCTTGGGCCCTGCACCCCATGGGAGACCAGGAAAAGCACCTGGCTCCTGGCTCCTGCCATCGGATCAGCGCGGTGCGCTGGCCGCAGCGCGCCGACCGCGGCGGCCATTGGAGGGTGAACCAACGGCAAAGGAAGACCTTTCTCTCTGTCTCTCTCTCTCTCACTGTCCACTCTGCCTGTCAAAAAAAAAAAAAAAAAGTAGAGCAGGGGCCAGTGCTGTGGCACAGCAGGTTAACGCCCTGGCCTGAAGCACCAGCATCCCATGTGGGTGCCAGTTCTAGCCCCAGCTGTTCCTCTTCCAATCCAGCTCTCTGCTATGGCCTGGGAAAGCAGTAGAAGATGGCCCAAGTCCTTGGGCCCCTGCACCCATGTGGGAAACCTGGAAGAGGCTCCCAGCTCCTGGCTTCGGATCGGTGCAGCTCCAGCTGTTGCAGCCATCTGGGGAGTGAACCAGTGGATGGAAGATCCCTCTCTCTGTCTCTACCTCTCTCTGTAACTCTGTCTTTCAAATAAATAAAATAAATCTTAAACAAAAAAAAAAAGTAGAGCAGCTGGGACTTGAACCAGCACTCTGCTGTGGGACGCCAGAGTCTCAAGTGGTGGCTTAACCCACTGTGCCCCAATGCTGGTCCCAACACGTAATCATTTTGATCAAAGAACGTGAATCCAGGATTGAAGAGGGTGTTGAACAGGGTACAGATGCAGATATAGTATACCAGGAATCACTACTGAATAGGATTCTCAGGTTCAGTAAAGGTTAAATTGATGAAAAAAGGAATACTGGCAAGAAT